TGGATTAGATTCTCCTCTGTGTGGAGGTAGCCCAACCCACTCGTAATTCCGATTGCTATCTTCATCCTTGTCGGCCAATCGACTGTTGTTTCCGGTCCACGAGCTGTATACAGTAACACAAGTAAGTACAAAAGAAGTTGAGTATGGCTTAGCTAGATTAGTAACCTTATTTATGAGTTGTAAGTCGAGTCTGTGCCCTTTGTTTGAACTGCAACATTTTTAAAAAATCATGAATAGTAAACTTTTAGAGCACATTGTTGAGTTTGCTTACCATGAAGGAAGGAAGAGAGGCTTCCTCTAGGCATGTAATCAAAGACAAGGAGCTTCTCTCCTTTGGGGCCCAAGTAGTAGGCTCTAAGAGCAAGGAGATTCGAGTGACGAATTTTTCCGAGTCCTGCAACTTCGGTTTCAAATTCCTTCTGCCCTTTTGTTGTCTTCTCCCTCAGTCTTTTCACTGCAACTTCATTACCATCTTCTAATGTTGCTTTGTATGCTGTTCCATATGTGCTCTTTCCCATGATCTCCATTACCATCTTCTAATGTTGCTTTGTATGCTGTTCCATATGTGCTCTTTCCCATGATCTCCGCAGTTGCACACAGAAGATCATCAGCTGTGAAAACAAATGGCCCGTCGAAATGGACTAGTTTTCCACCAGCTTCGCCCGTTGCGACATCGGTGCTGCCTGGTGCTGCCTTTTCGATGCTCCTTGCAGCAGCTTGCTTGGGTGTTGTTTTACCATTTGTCTTCGCAGCTCTTTTTGTCAACAGACAACACAGCAAAATTGCACAAAGAAGAAGAAGAAGCACCAACAGAGCTCCTGCTGCTATCAGAATTATGTCCTTTACACTAAGTCTGCGGTGGCGATGCGGTTTCATGACATCTATTGATGGAGATGTAAGATTATTCTGTGGAGAGGGAGCTGGTGGACATGGGGATGAAGTACTAAAACCACACAGTTGGAGGTTCCCTACAAAAGAGCTCGCATTGAACTTATTTGACAGGAGAATGGGAACAGGGCCAGAGAGATTGTTGTAAGAGACATTGAAGGACGTCAGATTCAACAAACGGGCGAGTGAAACTGGAATTGCTCCTGTCAAATTATTTTCCGAGAAATCAAGTTGGCTGATAGCAGAAATGTTCCCAAAACTTGCAGGAATTTCGCCACTAAAACGATTTTTCCCAAGCCTCACCACTGAGAGATTCCGTAACCTGTCAATATCTCCTGAAATCTGGCTATCAAGGCGATTATTCTCGACATTCAATAATTCAAGAGAGGAGAGATTGAAGAAGCTTGAAGGGAAGCTGCCATTAATGGCGTTGTTGGATAAATCCAAAAGGCGAAGCCTTTTCAGCCTGCCTATTTCACCTGGTATAGCCCCAGAGATTCTGTTTTCACTAATGGAAATCTCTTGAAGCCATTCCATTTTTCCCAGAGAAGCTGGAACCCGTCCAGTTATAATATTATGATCAAGTGTCAAAACCCCAAGTGGGCAAGTTCTGTTCCCAGAACCACCCCAAGAATCTGGGACAGTACCAGAAATATTATTGTGCTGGAGAGCCAGAATTATAAGAGAAAACGACTGCGTAAAACTACTTGGAATAGATCCAGACAATGAATTGTAACTCAAATTTACCCTGATCAATTTGGTAGAATTTGCAAGAGCAGAGGGGATTTCTCCGGTGAGCAAATTGTTGCTCAAATCAAGAGTTTGAAGAAGAGGAAGGTTACCAATTGAAGGAGGAATAGACCCTGAAAATTTGTTGTTGAAAAGGTAAACTCCTCTGAGATTTGGAAGGTACCCAAGAGACGGAGGGACGGCGCCGGAGATTACGTTATCGTGGAGGCTGAGCTTCCTGAGTTCCCGGAGCTGCCCTATCTCCTCGGAAAGCCGGCCGGCGAGGGCCTTCCATGGAAGCTGTATGGCAATGACCTGCCCCTTCACACACTTGATTCCTACCCACCGCCCGGAACAAGCTCCATTACTGCCATTCCAGCTACGTAGAACTCCTTTTAGATCGATAAGTTGGCTCTTTAAAGCTTGAAGAGCTTGATAATCTCCTTGCGTAACAGCAACTCCGTCCCACATCTGGCCGGAGACTGGTTGAAGAGAAAAGGCCAAGATATGAGTAAAAATGAGAGCAATGAGCCAGTAAGAACAGTTCCTCCATTGTTGGTTCTTCCATTTCCTGTTCTTACTGGGTAATTTAGAGCAGCACCAAACAGCCGTTTGCTGTTCAAAAAGCTGCATCAACTGAAGTGGGCGTGCCTGAAATTCACTCAGGGAGTGGTGGGTTTTTCCCATGAACAGAAAGGAACTTCAGATTGAGTGGGGAAAGAGAATGGAAACAGAAAGGCGAGCTGGATTCTCCTATTTTCTTGTTCTCTCTCTGTGGGGTTATTTTCTAGGGTTTCCGAAAGTTGGGAAGATAAGTTTTATAGAAGAAGGAAAATGAAGAAAATAACGGAAAAATAATTAGATGAGATGAAGCATGTGAGGATCTGAAATGTTATTATAATTTAGAGTGGGAAAGAGAAGAGAAGAGAAGAGGGCGGATGAGGGATTTACAATGGGGTCAGAGTCTTCATTCTTTTATGTTAACGGCTACATTTTTGTTGGGTTATTCAGGCTACGTGACATATTTTTTTTCCCTTTGCTTCTGTAACGCCTTGTCGCTCCTCCAACGGCTATATTTGATCAGGGTCAGCATAGTAGGTGGATTATGTATTATCGAAACTATGAAACAAACGTACGTCCTGCCCTGCCCTGCCACTTGGGCTCCAGAATTTCCGCCTTTAAATATTATTTATTAAAAAAAAAACCAGGGAAAGGCCTTGCAAACAGGGGTTATCGAATTGAATTGAAACGTTAAACTAAACCAGTTAGATCTGTTTAATTTGGTTATTTGGCCGTTTATAAATTCTTCAACTGTTTCAGGACTTTTTTTAATTTGTTTATTCAGATTCCATGTAAAGAAAAATACAATAAAATCTAAAGCAAAATATCAGTTTGTTTAAAGGTCTAACCTAACAAATAAAATGCAAATACTCATACCAAAAGAAATTCATTAAAAAGCTTCACATGTTAAATAATAGTTATTGTGTAGATTTATCTCTATATATATGAAAAACACTAATAGAAATAGTAATTGATACTTTCTATTTGTATATATAAGTTTTTTCGTATAAAAATACTATTTTGAAAGGTAATTCCAAACCCATCTCGAGATATTGGATCCAAGAATCTCCAATTGTAAATGAATGTCTATCGAACTGTTCAACAGACGTGATCTTCGCGGCAACAAAGAAAGAATTTTGCTCCCAAATCCTCTTCACGTAGCAACAAGAAATGACGGGCCAAATCACGCAACACCTCTGGTAAAAGAAGGCATGGATTTCAAAATGAACGTTATAAAGTTGAAGCATTCAACAATCTAGATGAGAATAATCCGAATTGACCAGTTTAATATGAAGAAACTCAATGACCATCGAAGCTCAAAACCATCCATCAATCATCCCTAAAGCTCGCTCACAGTTCAATACAAAATGGCAATGTACACATGAACAGGAACGATAGTTTATCCAGTAGGCTCAAAACAATAAAGTTTTCTTCACAAATCCACAAACAAAACTCAGTTTCAAAGTGCATAAACATTGTAGTACAGTCGGCTCGTGGATCAATCTTGTATAAATCCACAGACCAAATTCAAAGGGCATAGATTTCAGTATCTATGATCCATTCCTTCATACAATCCAATCTCAAATTATCAGAATTGGAGCTATATAAACTCAAACCTATTAAACCAACCATATCCCTAGGGTGTATGTGTAACATAAAAAATAGGTTTTGAAAATAAGAATAAGGTTTCTATTGTCTTAATAGATTAGCAAAATTGATAAATTGGTGGAATCCATTGACCAAAAAACTGTAATCCAAACACCTCTCAAAAGATCTAATCTAGCTGCCAAATTGGGAGATGACCTATTATTTATTTGCGCATTATGAACAAAGATACATCCCAATTACAGAAGGTAAGAATCATAACTTGCCTACACAACACATAGGGTGCAAAGATGTGGGTTCTAAGCAAAAGATCGATACCGAAGGAATAGCATGACAATTGGATCAAAATTTCTTCTTCTCAAGAAACACAGATCTATAAATCAAACAAGCACTAATCTACAGGTATGGAAGATAAATTCAAGAAATTGTAGAACAGAGCAAATAGGAGAATAAAATCCCACAATTTGTTATAACAAAATTCAAATTACAAAATGTAACAAGATCCATTATAAAAGAAAAGAGGAAAATTTTTGAATTCATAGACATCGTTTGAAGTATCATATTCTATCTTACGGTAAAGAACGGATCGTTAAACTGAAATTTTGCACAGAGAAAGAAGAAAAAAAAAATAACTGCAACTTATTTGGTCTACGCCAATTTTCAAGATTTAATGCCTTTACTGATACCGGGACCGAAGGCGCTTCCATCCCCTCGACTACTCAAATCACGTGCGAGCAGTCACAGGCACGCCGACAGCGGCGGCGTTGGAAGCCGCGCTGCTGAAGAATGAGAGGAATCCGGTGGATACAGTTTCTTGTTCGTCAAGGAAGAGATCTTCAGGAACCCTAAACGCGCCGTGGGCACATACCAGAGCCACGCCAACCATGAGAGCCGAGACGAGGACCGATCCAACGCTGGTGAGGAAAACGACGAAGACGCTGAGACAAACCAAGAGGATTAGGGTTTCGCTGTCCTTGAATGTACGGCCAAAGAGAACCAGCGGCTGATCCGACGGACGGAAGAGGTAGAGGAAGAGCCAGGACGACAAAAGGCCGGCAAGAAGGATTAGAGAAAACGGATGAGAAACGAGCGAAAATCCGAGGATGAGAGCAATCACCGCGAGATAATTGACGCGAAAATAGGTGTAATTCTTGCGGATTCGCAGAGTCGCTTCGGATAATGACTCGGGCTTCGAAAACGCCGTCCGATCCGCGACTT